TCTGGGGAGATCCGTGTGGTGAGGAGCTGAGGTGGCCTGCCAGCCCTATCCCGGACTCACCAGTCATGTGAACGAGCTGCCATGGAAGCAGCCTCCAGCCTTCCTCAAGCCTTGGGATGACTGAAGTTCTGACTGCCATCTCAACCATAAGCTACTAGATCTCAAACCAAAGCCACCAGCTAAGCAAATTTCTGACCTACAGAACTGAGATAAAAATAATTACTGTTTTAAGTTGATAAGCTCTGGGGAAATTTGTCTTGCAGCAATGGGTAACTAATACATTGCCACAGGCTCAGCATGGTGGCTCACGCCTATGATCCCAGCTCCTTGGGAGGCCAGGAGTTAAGAGACCAGCCTAGGTAACATAGTGAGATCCTCTAATATTTTAAAAAACTAAACTAGTAATACATTTCCAGAATCACTATGTACATTTACAATTAAATTTTCAAGATTCATGAAAAGTCTGTTTTTTTATTTTTATTTTATTTATTTATTTATTTTTTTGAGATGGAGTTTCGCTCTTGTTGCCCAGGCTGGAGTGCAATGGCGTGATCTCGGCTCACCACAACGTCCACCTCCTGGGTTCAGGCAATTCTCCTGCCTCAGCCTCCTGAGTAGCTGGGATTACAGGCACACGCCACCATGCCCAGCTAATTTTTAGTATTTTTAGTAGAGACGGGGTTTCACCATGTTGACCAGGATGGTCTTGATCTCTTGACCTCGTGATCCACCCGCCTCAGCCTCCCAAAGTGCTGGGATTACAGGCTTGAGCCACCGCGCCCGGCCTGTTTTTTTATTTTTTGAGACAAGAGTTTTGCTCTTGTTGCCCAGGCTGGAGTGCAATGGGGCGATCTTGGCTTACTGCAACCTCCATCTCCGGGGTCAAGCGATTCTCCTGCCTGAGCCTCCTGAGTAGCTGGGATTATAGGCATGCACCACCACACCTGGGTAGTTTTGTATTTTTAGTAGACGGGGGTTTCTCCATGTTGGTCAGGCTGGTCTTGAACTCCCGACCTCATATGATCCACCTGCCTCGGCCTCCCAAAGTGCTGGGATCACAGGCGTGAGCCACCGTGCCCGGGCAAAAAGTCTATTTTTGTTTTAAATAGGGGTTGCACTGAATTGTTTTTGGGAAGCTTGGCACATTTAAAACGTTAAATCTGGCTGGATGCAATGGCTCATGCCTATAATCCTAACACTTTGGGGCACTGAAGCTGGAGGATCACATGAGCCCAGTTCAAGACCAAATCAGGCAACACAGTAAGTCCCTGTCTCTACAAAAAATTTTAAAAATTAGCTAGGTGTGGTGGCACGCAGCTGTGTTCCCAGATACTTGGGAGGCTGAGGTGGGAGGATAGCTTGAGTCCAGGAGGTCCACACTGTAGGGAGCGGTTGTTAGAGAAGCAGGAGCCTAGGAGAGCCAGAGTAATGTCATTTTTGTTCAGCTCCACCTTGAGACTAACAGAGCACATTTCTTGCAGGTCATAACCACTGTCCTAAGATGTTTACAGCTAAGGAAGCAGCTTGGTAATGCCTGCAAGGACAAACTCCTATGAAAGGAAGTTCAGATGTCTCAATACCCACAATAATATACGCTTTCAAGGTAACTGTAGTTATGCTTTAATGTACTTGCACACTAAAATGTCAAAAAGTTTCCTTTTAATCAATGGAATAATACAATCTGTCATGCTGTCAGCCCACCCACGTGTAGGTGCAGCTTAGTTTTTACATAGATTAAGACCTCGGCCAGGCACGGTGGCTCAAGCCTGTAATCCCAGCACTTGGGGAGGCTGAGGCGGGTGGATCACGAGGTCGAGAGATCGAGACCATCCTGGTCAACATGGTGAAACCCCGTCTCTACTAAAAATACTAAAAATTAGCTGGGCATGGTGGCACGTGCCTGTAATCCCAGCTACTCAGGAGGCTGAGGCAGGAGAATTGCCTGAACCCAGGAGGCGGAGGTTGCGGTGAGCCGAGATCGCGCCATTGCACTCCAGCCTGGGTAACAAGAGCGAAACTCTGTCTCAAAAAAAAAGACCTCGATGTAAGGAAAACTGCTGGCTAAGGACGCTCTGCTCTGCGATGTAGTGGCTTGCAAGATCTCACTGCACTCTGCGGCTCGCCTCAAATTGCTTCCTGCATGAGATCCAAAAACCCTCTCTTGGCATCTGCATGGAGACCCCTTTTCCAGTAACACTGTGATCATGCCACTGTACTCCAGCTTGGGTGACACAGTGAGACCCTGTCTCAAAAACAAACACATGAACTCTATCCATCAAATAATGAGACACGTTTCCATGAGGAGTTCTACGTGTTATTCAGTACATTTTATGGTGTTTTTCATAAAGGAATTTAACAATAACAGGTTTATTTCCAAGAACTTCGTAGTTACTCTTGCTAAATGGAAGAACATCCTTCTTTTCTATTCCACTTTCGGGTTATTTTTACTGTGCCAAAAAGCCGTAAATGGAGACCACATATCCAAACTCCCTTTTTTATCCTTACTCATCTTTCTTAAATTGGATTTTCCAAGTAGGTAACATATTAGCTGCCAATAGTGATTTTCAACTTTTTAGATATTTATACATCTCACTTTCTTGATTTACTGTACAGGCTTCGATTTTCCAGATATCTATACTTCTTTTATTTACTTTTTTGAGATGGAATCTCCCTCTGTCGCCCAGGCTGGAGTGCAGTGGCACAATCTTGGCTCACCGCAAACTCCGCCTCCCATGTTCAAGCAATTCTCCTGCCGCAGCCTGCCAAGGAGCTGGGATTACAAGCACTCGCCACCACGCCCAACTAACTTTTGTATATTTAGTAGAGATGGGGCTTCACAACATTGACTAGGCTGGTCTTCAACTCCCAACTTCAGGTGATCCACCCACCTTAGCCTCCCGAAGTGCTGGAATTACAGGCATGAGACACACTGCACTGGGTGATTTTCCAGAATATTGTTTAATGTCACAGTGGTACCATGCATCCCTGTCTGCTTCCATCTGAAATACTTCCATGGTGGTCACTGCAAGCTCTTGAGAGCTTCCCTTTGTCAGGCTAGAGATGTCCATCTCTTTCCACTTTATCCAGAACCTACAGGTTTCTATACTTCTTCTATTCTTAAGGAAAGATACTGGAATTTATTATTACTTTTCAACATCCACTGAGATAATCATGATTTTCCACTTATTGTTAATGAACTTTATTTAGATTTCAAAATTCTTTTACCCTTGGGTTACAGTCTTCTTTGATTTACATACAATTTCACGTATTCCATATACGTTCACTGGGCACCTGCTCTGTGCCAGGCCCCATCCTAAGCACTGGGACAGAGCTGTGAACAGAGACCCACGCCTGCTCTCCTGGCAGGCGGAAGCACGCAGGACCCATCCTTATGGCTGTGAAACTCAGCCTTTCAGGTGCTACTGGATTTGGTTCAGTATTTACTCAGGATTTTTCAATCTAGGGCCACAGGTAGACTGGCACGTTGTTTTCTCCTTTTTTTTCTCCCTCTACTCTCTTCTGGCACTGGTACTGGGTGATACCAGTTCCATACCAGAAGTGGCTCTGGGCAGGTGAAGCTTCCCCAGTGAGGATGACTGATTCCTTGTTTGGGAGTGTCGTCCACCTGTAAAGTCATCTGGGCACCCACATTTTTTAGAGAAGATTTCCTGTCCCCAAACTAAAAGCCTGTCAGGTCAGCAGAGATGCAGCCATGCCCCCTTCCCACCCTTGGCCAACAATCTCATTCCCTCATTCCTCCACTGCCCGCCTGCCCGCAGAGCCCTTCAGCCCACTCTCCTGCCTCCCAGCCTCATCCTCAACAACTATTATCCACAGCCACCTGTCCATCTCTTGGAACTACAGACGCAGACTGGCTACCCCTGCCCAGGAGCCACCAGGTCCCTGTGTCCTTGCAGGACCTGGGTCCCAAGCATGCTCCTCCCACATCCACATCTCTACCCTTTCAGGCACAGTGCCCTGTCCCCAGCCCTGCGCAGGATGGAAGCTTCACACCCTGACCCTCCTCCCGAGCAGCCCTCACTAGGCAGGTGACCTCTGTGTGTTTACAGTCTGGACTGTCAGGAGATGCTCACCTCCCAAAAGCCACTGCAGCTGCTGGCTGGGTCACCCCACTCCCCGGCACCTGACACCTTCATAGGAACTTGAAGGCATTTGGGCCTGAAGGGCATGACTGGGAGGGTACAAAGAGGGCTCAGTGAGCAGCCATGGGACATACACGCAGACCCACCTGCGTGCACGGCTCAGTGAGCTCCCCACACTGACCTGGCTGCATGACCAGCACCAGCCATTAAAGCGTTGCCAGGGACCAGGAGCCCCTGCAGCCATCTCGCATAGCCTAGATACATCTCTGAGCCTGGCTTTCAACCTTCCGAAAGTGGAAGCACACAAGTGGGGGTCTGGCTTCCTCTGCCCTCAGAGAACGTCCTGGGGCTCAGCAGCTGTGTCCCGCCACTCTCACTACTGCGCCAAGCACAAGCCTGCAGCTTGCTGTACAGTAGTGGAGAGACCAGGAGATGCTTCTCGTTTGGGGCTGCCACAAGCAGAGCTACCCTCAACACTTTGTTTCGGTCTACTTTCAGTGACAGATCCTTCTCCTAACAGCTGACCCAGCTGGTTGGGAGGACACTACTCCTGCTGGAGACCCTGCTTTCTCTCCCAGTTCCTGCCACCTTCAGCCTGAGGTAGGAGGTACTGGGGAGGGCGGAGGCAAGTGTGTTGTCTTGCCTCCCTCCTGGATTTAGGAGACCTCTCTACAGAGCCCAGCAGAGGCCTGTGACCCACGTTCTGGAGGCAAGTGGGGTGCAGGTCCATCTTGGTGCTCGTACAGGGCCATGGGAAGACAGTCCCCCAAGTCCAGCATCTGTTTCTTGTCAGGCCCCACTCAGCCCTCCCCTGAGGCTGCCCATCATGGCCAGCCTGGAGTTTTCAGGCGGGCGGGGGCCAGGAGGATGGCCTCAGTCAGGGTTCATTCTGCTTACCCAGTCCTGAGTCTGCAGTCCCTGCTGAGCGCTGCTCTGGGTACTGGGCGGGCAAGAGGCTGCTGTAGGACACAGTGGGGGCCGCCTGTGCTCTTGGGAGACCTGCAACTCCAGCTTCTTGCCCTGAGGGGCCAGCTTCCTGCCGTCCATCTCTAGCACTAGCAGACTGCTTGTCCACAGCTCTGAGATCGGGGGAGGGAGCAGGATGAGGCGGGGCGGGGCCCCCAAGGCCACCGTGTGCCCACCAGTACCTGAGTCCCTGGGGTCAGATGGTGGCAGCGTCAGGGTCTGCTAGGGTCGCCTTCCAGCCAGTGGTCAGGCATCACTGGGTGGGGCTCACCGGGGAGCCCGACGCTCGACCCCTCTGGGTGGAGCGGATCCCCCAGCTTCCGCCTGCAGCTCTTCTCCACATCAGCCCACGGAACTGTCCTCTCTGCCCCTGCCCTCCCCACCCCGGGAACCTGGTCAGCCTTCAGCCGCCTCCCCGCACGCACTCCACGCCTCTGCCAGGCCCGGCTTCAGGGGCATCCGCCCTCAGCCAGCACTGCGGGCACGCTCCCAAGGCCCGGCCTCGCGACGCCCGGGGCGAAGGAAAGGCCCGGAGCTCTGGCCGCCACACTGCCCCCGCCCCTGAGACCTCCACGCCTCACCCCAGCGGGCCCAGCCCGAGCCCTTACGTGCCCGCCCTCTCCGGGGCGAGTGCGCGGCCGGGAGAGAAGGGCTCAGGACACACGCTGGAAGCCGGGGGCACCCTGGGGTTCGCCGCAGGGCCGGGCACACGGGAAGGCGGTCAGCGCTGGGGGGAACGCGAGCCGCCGCGGATGGAGCGGCCACAGGGTGACGGGTGGGGTCCACTGCGGCCCGAGGGGCCAGCTCCCCGCTCTGGAACTTCCGCTGGCACAGGCCCCGCCCCCGCCGGTTCCGGTTCCGCTTCCGGCCTGCGCCGCGCCTGCGTCCTGGGCTCCGTTTCGGGGCATATGGGCGGGCGTGGCTTCGTGGTCCCCGGCGCAGACCCGGGCTCATCGCCGTTACTGCCTGGCGGGCCCTTCTGGGCGTTGGCCTCTGGGGTCCGTCTAAGCGCAGACCTGAGCTTTGAGTTCCTCCGCCCGAGCCCCTTCGGCCTTGCATCCTTCCCGGGGCGCCAAGCCGCTTCGCCCCGGGCCACCTCCCCGCGCGCGGTGCCGCAGGGCTGCGGCGAGGCGGACCTGGGAAAGGCCGCGTGGGCGGGAGGGAGGCGCTGCGGCCGCCCTGCGAGAGCCCCCGACGAGTGGACGGCCGAAGAATCACACCGCAGGCAGGGGCAGGCCCCTCCAGGTTTATTAGTGTCGCATCAGCACCTTAAAATAGTCCATACGGTCACTACGTGACAGATTAGAGTCCGTTCCCAAAAAGCTATTTACATTAATGCCGGGTTTCATTAAAAAAAAAGAAAAATTAGCAACACATACACCCTAGAAACCAAACAATGCACGATGAACCGCACGGGGGGTCTGCGGAAACGACAGTGGTGCCTCTGTGCCTGCGGGGTCAGGCCCCAGGGGTACCCTGCAACCGACACCCGCAGGCGAGAGGACAGGGCTGGGGAGGGGCGGCTCAGGAACAGGAGTGGGCCTGGCAGCGCGGCCCTCGGAACAGGCGGCCTGGTGGTTTTCATGAGGAATTCATTCCCGAAGGAAGGCCAGAGGTACTCGGGTCTTTCCCTTTGGGAATGAGGACAGCATGAAGAGGCTGCCAGTCCCCTGCAATGCCCTCCCCTCCACCACTCCCCCCCATCTCCAGGAGCCTCTCACCCAGGGGCCCTCTCCAGTCCCAGCTCTGGCCGACGCACTGACCCAGCACACTGGCCTATGTGCCCAGAGACGAACGTGGAAGAGGAAGGCAGCGGGCCAGATGGGGCTGGCCCCTAACTGGCCTGGTCGAGGGTGGAGGGTGGAGAGTGGAGTCTGTCTAGGTAATAGTGGAAGGTGGCCAACAGGCCTGAGGGGCACCTTGGTGGTGACCAGTGGCCTAACCTTTGAGGCTGACAGGGCTGAGCCCAGCTCTACAAGGGCTGCCTTCCATCCTGTGGGCCAGTCACCGGCCAAGGTCTCAGGGGTGTGTTCGCCTCACATACCCTCCCGCCCTTACTGCACTGGCTGTCAGATGGCTTTGGTTTCTAGTTGTCCTCGGAGGGACAGAGTGCTCCTCCATGCACCCTCAAACAGCTCTGTGAGGTAGGCAGGGGAAACGTCACTATCCTAACCAGTGGGAAAACTGAGGCACAGAGAGGGAGCCCAGCACAGGTCTTGTCTGCCCAACCCCCGTGGCACTGGGCATGGAGTGGTGGATGGGTGAGTGACTCTTGGGTGCAAGGCAGACCTGCAGACCAGCAGCGGCAGGGGCGCAGGGAGTGCCACCAGAACCCCCAGCTGCTGGATGGAGAGTCTGCCATGTTATCCCCTTGCAGAGCCAGATGGGGAGGTGTGGGGTAGGCAGGAGGGCTCCAGGAAAGGGGCCGCCCACAGCCAGGATGCACTAAGTAGCCTGTGGCCCCTTCCTCTAAAACCTGCTCGGAGGCCAGAAAGCCACGGCAAGGATGTTTCCACCTTCATCTTCCTACTGAGTGTGACCTATGGGAAAGAAACTGGAAGAGCAGGCCAGACACGGTGGCTCACACCTGTAATCCCAGCATTTTGGGAGGCTGAGGCGGGTGGATCACTTGAGGTCGGGAGTTCAAGACCAGCCTGGCCAATATGGCAAAACCCCGTTTCTACTAAAAATAGAAAAATAATAGCCAGGTGTGGTGGTGGGCGCCTGTAATCCCAGCTACTCGGGAGGCTGAGGCGGGAGAATCGCTTGAATCCAGGAGGCAGAGGCTGCAGTGAGCCGAGAACGCACCACTGCACTCCGGCCTGGGGGACAAAGTGAGACTCTGTCTCAAAAAAAAAAAGAAACTGGAAGAGAAGAAAAACAGACGCTCTGGTCTGGAGCCCAGCACTGGGCAGCTGGAATGAGGGGGAGGGTCAGAGGGCATTAGCCCAGGGACCCACACTCTCACCCCAGACCCTTCTCGGGACAGCGCCTAAAGCCCGGATTCAGTGGGAGGCCTTCCTACCTGCTCCCCGCAGGGTGTGCTTCAGGCTCCTGGTCCCAGGTGAAGCTGGAGGCCCTGGTATGGAGGGGCTCCGACTTGGTGCTGTACACCAGCTACCTGAGCCCTGAACCCAGGGGGCTGAGGTCCCACCCCAGGTCACATCCTGGCACCTTGCCACAACAAAAGCACCTCGTTCAGCCACCTGGGGGTGGGGACACAGGAAGAGCAGGGCAATCACAAGTAAGAAACATGGACCATTTCTCAGGCCAACAAGGGTGGAGACCCCTCCAGCCCAGGCTCGAGGCCCACCTGCCCTGTTTGTCAGCTTTCCAAGCATAGCCTTGCACAGTGCTCCATCTTATGAAACCAGGCCTAGAGGCCCCCAGGGGCGACCAGGGTCACTGGGGGTCCCCAGCTTCCTTGGTTCCCTCCTATGGAGACCCCAGAGTGCAGGCTTGCTGGGGAGAAGCAGGACTGAGGGGCAGGTGTGGTCGGGGAGGCCACTCTCCTGCTGTGTGGAGGGCATGGGACCCGACATACTCTGAGTGTGGACTGGAGAGGCTCCCAGGCCCTGGACAGGGTACCTGGCTACACCCACGGCTCCAAAGAGCTGGCCCCTCTGGTCAGGCCATCCTGCTGGAATCTTCTTGGCGAGTCTTGGGGCAGGTGACACACACACACCTGGACACCTGCCCCACATTCACCAAAACCTGAATCTCAACCCAGATACCCACATGGCCACCCTCAGACATGCCCACTGGAGTAGGAGCAGGAGGAAGCAGCCCCCACCCTCAGGCCAACCCTCGAGGCTCTCACTGTGTCTAGGCTCTGGAACATTTTCTGGGGCCGCCTGGGGCTGTGGAGGCCCCTGTGCATACTAAGTTTGCGGCAGGGACTACACGCAGAGGCTTCACGTTATCTCAAGAGCAGCCTCAGAGGGGAAGGTGTGAGGCGGGATGGGCAGGTCTGGATGGGGGCAGGCTCTGCTGAGGGAAGGTGTGAGGCGGGCTGGGCAGGGCTGGGGAGCGGGGATAGGCTCTGCTGGCTCTGCCCAGCCCCAGGGGGACTTCAGAAGAGCAACATGTTTGGCAGCTACATTATAACATGTATTTAAGAGCATTAAAAATATCTGCTGCTATAAAACCTCCGCCGCAGGCAGGAGTTTATTGGGAACCACGAGTGTGCGGTGCTGGGGGCATCTCTCAGGCAGGCAGGATGGCCCCCTAGGCTTAACTCAGGACACCCCAACGGGACTGAGTGGCCTGTGGCCCGCGGCCTGTGGCCACCAAGCTCCGCCTGGCCCAGGCTCCCTGAGGAAGCAGAGTCCTGACTTCCAGGAAGGACAGGATGCGAAGGCAATAACCCTCCCGGCCTGTAGGGCCAGAGCACGCCTTCCACGTCCGCAGTCAGCACTGTCCTTCCAGATTCCCAGCCCCAGGCCCAGCGTTCAGGTTAATAAGCAGAGCAGTTACTCGGCTCCCAGCGGGAGCTGCCCCGTTAGTTTCCAGGTTGTGAGCACATTCATACTTAAGACTGTTTCTCGTCGTTGTGTTTTAAGGGTCTGACTCTGTAGTAAACTGAAATGTTAACAGAAACGAAGCTGGGCCCCTCCCAGCGTGGTGGGCTCTTGGGGCAGGAGGTGGGGCCCCCCGGTGGGGGCGGGGCTAGAAGGTGGCCTTGGAGTGTCCGAAGATGCAGATGGGGAAGTGCTTCACGTGGGAGGACCACTGCGCGGCCAGCTGGAAGAACTTCACGTCGCTGCACTCCACACCGTCGATGAGGACTGTGGGAGAGGGCTGCCTGACCACCTGCCCGCCTGTACGCCTGCCCGCCCACCCACCCTGCCCGCCTGCCTGGCCTGACTCCTTGCCCATTTGCCCAGCCTGCCCACCAGGCTGGGTAGCAGCTGGGGTGCAGGATGAGAAGGAGCCCCATGTTGGAGGGCACTGACACCCTCCTCAGGGACTCAAGGGATCCAGGGCCACGCTGGCTCCTGAGGATACCCTTTCTGCCCCCTGCCATCCCACACCTCAGAGCCCAGGGGCTGGCATCTCCCCCAGGGCTGCCTGCAGATGGAAGAATCAGACCCCACCTCCTTCCACCAGGTGCTACTTGTACACATCCACCTCCACCTGCACAGGTGTGGGGAGAAGACATTGGGAGCCTCCTTAAAACAGAGATCCCTGTGGGGAGACAGAGCCACATCAACCTGGAGGTCATCTGACCTGAGCTTTGTTTCTGAAACAGTTAATTGCAGAGCATCTTCTCTAGAACACTTTGAAATTGTAAGTCATCATTTTTAGGCTGGACATGGTGGCTCACACCTGTAATCCCAGCAGTTTGGGAGGCCAAGGTGGGGGGGCTCACCTGAGGTCAGGAGGCCCAATGTGGCAAAACCCTGGTCTCTATTAAAAATACAAAAATTTAGCCAGGCATGGTGGCAGACGCCTGTAATCCCAGCTACTTGGGAGGCTGAGGCAGGAGAATTGTTTGAACCTGGGAGGCAGAGTTTGCAGTGAGCCAGGATCACACCACTACACTCCAGGCCGGCTGCAGAGCAAAACTCCGTCTCAAAACAAAACAAAAAAGTCTGTAGATGCAGTTGCTGATATAAAAAAATAAAATAAAGTCATTATTCTTAAAAAAGCAGAAAGGGTTGAAAACTACTTTCTCAGCATTTAGAAAGCTGTCAGCCTCACCAAGGTCTTCATCGGACGTGCCTACGCCTCAGGTGGTGGAAGGTGCGCTTTACATCGAGACCCCGCAGCTCCCATGTGGGCTCCGAAGTGGCCCTGCTGTGCTCTCGCCTGTGCCCCACTCCACACAGACCCC